CTCAAAAATCCATCAAAAGATATTATTTTAATGTTGAAAATTCCTCTAAATTGATCATCTCGACATCGAGATGTATGAATATAAAAAAAAATTTATTTTGAGTCTTAGAAATAGTGCACCTTGCAACACATTATCTAGACCGTCCATTTTCAAGATTTTCATATATTTATAGATCGAGTTGATTTTAACCATTTTGGGAGTTGAAAGTTTTATAATTAAATATGAAAATAGATTTTAAGACAATCTTAAAAATTTTTTTACTAAAATTACATGTTATGACAAAATTTATAGGTGTGCCTTAATTGGATTGTTTAAGGTTGCAACCTTATAGAAACGGCACCCTTTAAAGATTGATAAATATTGACATTTAATATTTGAAAAGAAAATGATGCTTGATAGATGATAGATATCATGCATCAATAAAGGCTGGTATAAATTTTGTAAGACTTCAAAAAGGCACATGCTTTGTTTTTTCTTAATCATTGAAGTTGGCATACTATTTATCTATTTATTTCTACAAAAAGTAGTTGGCCAAGTTACTCTTGGATGGTTTGTGAATACCATATCAAAACAGTTAAGCCTTCCTTTCTAAGCAAATGAAAACATGAAGAGGATAATTTGGGTTATGTTCCTTCGAGTTATACACAAGAATGTGCAAAGTATGTGCGGTGTTTTAGTCAATGTTATGCCAATTTTCATTCTGGATGTCTCTGCATGGCTTTTTATTAGCAAGAGACTATATCCCAATGTCTCTTGGGAAATTTATCAAAACAATTATAAAGTATAAATTGTTTTTTTCTTTTTATGGGGTAATTCAGTGGGGATAATGAGCACCTACCTGGTTTTTAAAATCATTAGTAGTTTTTTACTATGTTGCGAGAGAATGAAAGCCTAGGTCTCAGCTGGGGCACAAGTGATGCTACCACCACGACCCAGACCCATTTTATAAATTGTTTAACATATTAGTAATGTCTTTTGATTTAATTTCAAAACACATAGTTGTAAACGGTAAAATATTAAAGGAAAGCTTTCAGTGTGACCCCATCAACATAGAAGTTGCATGTGATTCGACTTTTCAGCCATTCGATCTGAATTGACGGCTATGATTGTTTATGCTAGAATGTCATGCCAAATAATGTTTTATTTTTCATTTTTTTTCTACAAAACCTTTTTCGATAAAATTTTGGGCATCCCATGATAAAATTCAGGCGAACCTAGAAAATATTTCTCATGAAAATAAATGACCAAAATACTCTTAAAAGTTTTAGGGGTATTCTGGTAATATTTTGTCACTGAAAATATTGTTTTTTCTTATTTTTATCATGTGCGCCCCACCCCAATATATCTATGCGTGCCCCAAATTTGGCAACAAAATGATTTAAAGAATAAATATTAAAAATAAAAAAATTCAGAGCCGTCGAATCAAAATATGACGGTTAAGTTAAGAACCAACTGTGACATTGTGACTCAAGCCATCTACTCAAATCTAACGGCTGAGATTAGGGATCATATATATATATATATATATGGGTCGGGTCACATAGAAAGGTTTTGCCAATTCTTAAACAGTTTATTTCCTAGAACACAAAAAAAATTTGTATGGAACTACGGATCACAAACATTGTGCATGTAGAACGCGCTTTCTGACGCTATACTTCAGAAATTAAAGCAATATCCATTATGAGGACCAAACTCGAGGAGTTAATAAAACAACTTTGTGATGATTTCTCCTTTTTCAAATTTCATTTCAATTACTTCACACCTACTCGGTCGCCTGCCGGGTGCTGAGTAGTTGGGCCTAGTACACGGACTCCGCACCCCGGCGAGCCCGAGTTACCACGAGTTGGATGCGCACTCAGGGATATTTAAAAAATTTGAAAATATAAAACTTTCAAAAAATAAGAAATTTATTTGGGGAAAAATTTATAGAGAGCCGAGGCTCTAAACAATCAAATTAGAGCCCACCTAAGAAATTTCACTAGAAGAGGTTGTTTTGATGCCCAAATATAATCAAATTGATCATCTCGATATCAAGATACATGGACATGAGAAAAAAAACAGATTTCCAGTTTTGGAAATAGTGCATATTGTAACAAATTTTTGGACCATCATTTTTTAAGATTTTCATATATCTGGTGATCTACACAGTTTTTTTGGACCATTAATTTAAAATTTTATAGTTAAAGATAAAAATACGTTTTAATGCTATCACAAAGATTTCCATTCTTGAAACCACATTTAGTCGTGGGAGGCAAGGCACACAGGGGATAGG